CGTGCCGCCATGAGACGACGAAGAATCAATGACGCCAGAAGCCTTGTCACAACAGGCGTCAAACTAACGCCTCTGTGGTTGCTACATTCACTGCAAGTACCCTTTTTGATTGACCCCAGTTGTCTGGGACGGTCTCCTTCTCCCAGATAAACCCAAATAGGCTAGACAGGCACTGACTGAGGAATCCACCGCCATCCTTGAAAAGAGCAGGTGGAAGGTCGTCAGGACCAGCAGCACGATGACGCTTGAGTAGAGAAATGCATTCGGACACTTCTGAGACTGAAGACGGCTCCATATTTTCGGTCCACCTTTCTGTTGAAGGCCGGGTTTCTGGATTGGGGTTAGCAGGTGGCCAGCTGAATTGTTGTTCGAAGTATTGTGCCCAGCGATCCAAACGTTCCGCTTTGCTGCATATCAGGGAGCCATTTTGGTCCCTGATTATTTCACTGACAAGAGGTTTCCGAGGACCAGTCGAACGAATCAAGTGGAACCATTTGCGCCGTGTATATTATTGCATGCTGTTCGGCCATAAATGAGCTACATGGGATGACAAGCGTTGGATCCTCTATCGAAGTACTAAGTGGAACCTGTCTTCCCGCAACAGAATATGGCACATCGCCCCCTGGATCGATTCCCGTTGGTGTGGAGGTCACAAAGCACATGGTCGGTACTAGTATCTTAGATCAAGAATCTGTTATTAATATGCAAGCGGCTCTTTATCGCTATGCTTCCCATGGTCGTCTACACAAACGACTTGGAGATCCACATTACAAATCAAGCTGCCGATCACGGAGTACTGGCGTCCGGTCAAATTCGTCGCCATCCAACAAGCCCACTTCCACAATAAGGTCAAATGATTTTCTCACAGTACTCAAGGTTGGACTTCCGGATCAATCACAAAGTGCAGGGTTAACATCTCCAATCTCACAAACACATCTTTCGTTTCTACAAAACCCACTGAAGCCCACACCATGTCACCATCTCCGGCAGCCAGACCGCTACCCACGTTCTACAAGCGTTGGCCATTTGGGTTGTTTGATTCGCAGTTGGAGACGCCTTGCTAAAAAACCCAGCCCAAGCCTTCCCGCGCTTGTGGTTGAACCAACCGCTGATGTCCTGCTTGGAGATCGGTGACGGGCAGACAGATGAAGAACGATCCACCCCAGATTCATCTGAAGTCTGTACGGGACATCCTCCTCCTATTAAGAAGATTCCGACGGGAAGCAACAAGTGTGGTCCCATACCGTCACCGACTGTCTGGTGGTTGGACGACGTGGCACCGGTAGCGGAACCGTCAATAGGAAAGCCATGTTTACCCTTGACCAGGAAAATATCTGTGCCGCAGAACCCAATGAGGATGCGACAGAACACCTCCTTCTGCCAGGACGGTCTGGATTCGAAGACGAACTCGTTCGAGAAGTTGCCTACTTCGAGCTAACCGAGTTTCTGATTGGTGAACTAGATTCCCTAAATTCAATGTCCTTGATTCGATCGATATTTCCTGACGAACCAGCAATCGATGGTGACAAGGCAGCTACAACCATGACCTACACAACTAACAATACTCTCCACGAAGAAAGCTTGAGGACGATAAAGAGTAACTAAATTTCAAAGGTTTGTGACAACGGAGAGGTCACCTTTCCGCTAGACAATGTTTTATTTCTGACACAGAAGATTCCTATGGACAAGTATATAAGGCACGGAGCCGGACAAACTGTAAGCCAAACGAAAGTACAATACTCTGATTGTTTTTATTGTGGTCCAATAGGAATTTAAACACCAAATACCAAAAAAAGGTATTTTGAAGATTCACCTTTCGATTGTTGCGGATATCTGCTTCCTCTGACAAGAAGGCAATAAGGCAGTTTTGAAAATTCCCACAAAGTTATGAAGACAAGCTTAGTTTGACTACATGATATATAATAATTTTAAAATCCTAAAAATAATTCCAAAAGCAGCAACGAAAAACTTTTGAAAGACTAAAACTATCGACCTTTTGACAGCTAAAGAATCTCACCAACCGAACTGTTGGGGGAATTTACTCTTGTTTTTGCCCAGAATGTTTGTTATTTTGATGCAGTTAGGGACTGTTTCTACAATATGGAAATGGTGAAGTTGGAAATTTGCCTGAAATTCGAGTCTGCGTACCACCAAGTCTGCTTCTGGTTACCCATTATTGATGCCCACAAAACTCGATTTGCTTAGTTTGACATATGAAGCTGTTTAGATGCTTGCCATTTCTCCACCGGTTCATTCATACTAGAATGCTTGAGATTTCCGACGCCTTGGTTGTCAGTCAGTGTAGTAGATTCTTGCATGAAATCTTCAACAGTTTCCCAATTTATTGTGCATGTAATTATATTGTGGATTCTTTTAGCAGCACGCGCATTTCGCGCTGATGATGAGGGAAGTTTTGGTAATGTTCGATTGGGTTTTCGATTTGTGAGGTCTGGGAGTTTAAAAACCCACAAAAATTATTTTACGGTTCTATCCTTATTTAGGATCATTAGCAGTGCACCCCTCGAGAAAATCTGAAAAGTTCAGCTCTGGGCAAACCACGTATCTGTATTTCGTTTTGGCCTGCCCGCTTTTAATTGATCTCACTGTTTTTGTCGCAAGTTTTCCTGAAAAGTTGTCCTACATGAATGGTAGAACAGAACAGCTATGGTTTGTTGAACCCATCCCAGGGTTTGTATAGCAGGAAGTAACGCTTTTTCCGTATTAGGGCGGATATAATTATTGTCAGTTATTCTTCCGTTGGCCGTATTTTTGAACTTTTAAATAACTTTAAGTATCTCAGATCCGTATAAAATGGCAGCTGTCTAAACAAACTGCCCACTATATCTGGCGAAGAATAATAATGATCAATTGTTATCTGACGATATGTAAAACGATATGGATATCTACTAACTAAAGTCCTTTTTTCTATATAACATTTGGTTGGTGTACGGTCGCCAACGTCTGTACAGATGCGGCTTCATTTATCAGGTGCAATTAGACAATAGTTGGGAATAGCTCTGTAAGATGTGCCGAGAACATTAAAAAATGGAGATGAAGCCTACTAGTCTCTAACTATCTTTAGGATTTTTTGTCCCGTTATTCTTATTTTTTGTAAGAGGAGTGTGGCCGTAAAGAACTAAATTGTTATGCTTATTTTAAAGAGATCCCTTTCAATCGTGTTAAGTTTTGCAATATAGCCCCAAACAATTTTTGGAATTGCTTGAAGGCATTCAAGAAGACAGTGCCAAATCTGGGAATATTTGTAGCTTTATTTCTATTCCATTCTGTTGACAATAAACAAATGAGTTAAGAACACAGTCTGTTTCTAATGTGTTTTGTCCACAACTGCGTTGTCCTTGGAGGGTCGTGTTCCCTTTAGAATAGTGACGCCATCAAGAGTATTGGCCTGGCTAGTGCTTGCTTTCGGTACATTCAAGTTTATAATCAGCCAGGGATGAAAATCAAAACAACTGCTCTCCGATTTCGAGAAACGGATTATAACATAGTTAGCACGGCCATAAGACGTTTACTCCAAATAGCTTGGCTTTCAATAGATGTTTTTCGAATGTCTAGCAAGATCGTAGGTTATAAAAACTAGGTAGTCTGAAACAGCGGTCGAATGGGTGTTCTACTTGAGGATTTTTGACAGTTTCTAAATGTGTGGTTAGACCGTACAAGTCATGTACAACAGGTAGTCAGTCATCTACCTAGTTACTTTGCCCCGACTTTTTCATTACATCTCACGAATACTTGCCAGTTCAACCTTACTTTTTTCGACTTTATGTTAGCTCCATCAACAGATTCTACAAGCCAGGTGTTGTTGGAGCTGCATTTACTCGAGTTGGTGAAAGCGCCCTTATTTCACTCTGTATTCCCAACATTACTTGAGTTTGCTTAGGATTTTGGTGCCCTTCGTCCAAGTCGCTGGTAGAAATATTTATAAATCATCGATAGTGGAACTTTGAGAGCTTTCCCAGCAGCATTTTGATATTTTTGACCGATATATCTTTTGTGCGCGAAACAAAAAGCCACCGAAATATCCGTCAATAGACCAAGTAACAACGTTTGACCTGGCAGTGGTCATATGTTCCGTTCTACGTTTGTGTACAAAGCTTGAATATCTTTGATGTATAACTGATGCATAACAGCGGTAATGCTAACAAAGCTTGCTAACGTTCGGGCGGTTGCATCACGTCACAGAAATCTAGAGTATAGGTATACAGTCCAGTTTGGTATTGACCCGTCTCGTTTTCCGTAAGTAAATGCATTTAGGAGTCACATGAACATTCGGCTAACAAACTATCAAAATGCTATCCTTCGTTTTTAGGAGCATCAGCTGCTCTAAAATAGTGATATGATCAGAAATTTTGAGCACCATTCAAAAATTTATCAATTGTGATCTTAAAGGACAGACTTTCATACAAAACAAAGCCCATTCCTCAACTACTTCATTTTGTTCCACGCCTAATCGTCGATTGTACCGAAACGATGTGCTACAGTGATTACAGATTTTTACAGCTGATTTGCAATAGTCAGTAAAAAGGGACTCATGAACTCTTGCACCTGAGGTGAATACTCAAGTCGTAGGTTAGGTTACCGGTTTCCATATGGTTGTAATCCGGCATCGGCGTTGTTCCTTACTTCCTTCCAAATTTGCACACACTGCTGGGATGTAAATCCCGCAGAGTAAGGACACTGATATGCACGGTTTTGTAAAATCACATAAGACGAGCATTGTAGAACCAGCTGTTTTCAGGAGGCACTTGACGATTCAGGAAGCCAAAGAGAGAGAGTTTACTCATGACCTAAATCCAGCTGTGCTACTGCCCTAATGAATTTTCATGGTGGATGTCTGGTTACGTACCTTATTAGCAGTCCGTCTCTTCAGTGAATTTAAGTGCTCTGCAACCACAGAATTATCAGGGGTCAGGCTAACTATGGCAAACAGAACTTGCACTGTCAGTGGGTGGTTAACCTGGATCCTTCGAGTAGTAAGTTTGTTAAATAGATAGAGAGATAGTAAGTTAGTTAGCTATTTTAGTTAGTTAATTTCAGCCTTTTCTCACACGAACAACTTTGGTCAATAGTATGTATGCCATATGGATTGACTCTTAATATGCCAGAGCTTATCGTAAACCGTTTACATAAGAGCCAATGCAGGGCTTCCTCTGAGTGACTTTGCAAATTTAATAACTGTCAAGCACTGTGGCTAGTTTGTCCGGAAAACGCATAATCTGTACTCAGAATTTTCGCTGACGACGTCTTTGAAGCTTTGGGCCCTCTATCTAAATCTGCCTGCTCCACTGTTGGCATTAATCCAGAGACCCTGGTATGATTTGCATGAGCATGCACCGAAAAACAGTTGGACGTTCGACAGAGGACGCGCGAACCCGTTTTTATTAGGATGAACCAACGTTGGTTGTAGGAGATCTGCTCTCCAAAATCCTATTTTGAGCCTAGTTAAAGTGCATAAAACTAAGTAAAAACTTTTTTCTAATCAAACTTACTGCTTACCCGAAACCAATTGTCCCATGTTGATAACGAAGCGGTGTCTTATGTCTCCTCTCATCGCGACTTCCTTGCAGTCTGTTGCAGTAAACAGGCTTTTTGTATAACAGTTATTTTGTTTCATTGTTACCTGTGTATTTCTGAACAAACTTATCTGAATTTGCGCGGTCTGGAATAGATGTCACATAATAGGTTGCTTTTGACCTGATGAAAGACTCGAAAATATTTGAAATGGTTTGAGCTTTATTGGAGAGTGACGCAACGCCGGTCACAACACAAATTGCATTCCCATACTGCTGTGCAGAGAAGTAGTTTCATAAGATCGTGAAAAGGAAGCAGCAGGTATTAATGGGATATGCTTGGAAGCAAACTGTTTAGATGGCTTGTTGTGATCAAACGCAGCAATGATGATGATGACTGTTATCCACAAGCTCGGCACCTTTCTGAATAGGGCTGCCAATGTGTTCACTGCATTTTTACATACCTAAAGACCAGATTCAATAGTGCAATTGAAAAAGGTCAATTAAGTTCATTGTGCTAGGGCCAGAAGCGTGATGCGGAAAGTGCGACGACATGTGAGTGGAAAATTTTCTCATTTCAACGGGCATTCTATATTTGCAATGAATTACGATTTCTTTGTAGTATTAATTACTGGGGTAACTGTCAACTGGGAGCGTTATTCGCGTCATTGACACCGTACGGAACCGCCGCGATAGTTTGGAAATGGTAGTAGATATTCAACGCGTCTGTGACTTTTACACTTTAGGTTAAATTTACAAACCCTCTAGCAAAATCGCTTGAAGGCGAATATGGGACTTTCGGTTTAATTGTTTTTGCCTGTGAAGGCTGCCTAAAACGTATTTGTCCCTGATGTCACACCTTACTTTACTCACAGAACTGTGGAAAAACACGTAATGATTAGCCATGCGTCAGATCCGTCCAGTTAATTATTAATGAAAAGTAGTAGTTTCCCAGAGGACTTCGAGCCTGTACAGATACTCATGGGTAAATGTAGTAATATCATAAATATGGGACGGGTTATTGCCTATGTGTGACATAAACCAATTGAGGAATCATATATTAAGTTTCTTATTCAG